TATTAGTTGTGCGGGGACCACCGGTTAGTCCCAGGTGGGGGTGGGTGGAGTGGGATTGGTGGTGTATGGGACATGTGAGGAAGTGGGTAAATATAGTTGGCATTGGAGTACAGGCTTGGTGTTTGCGGCGGAAATAGTCAGGCAATCTTTGGATGGGAGCAATGAAATATTACCGAGTACTTCAGATGGATATGTGGTTTACCCGCTTCTGAGACGCAATTCGGTTACCTCGAAATAGGGTCAAGCCAAGATGGGGGTGGCATGCAAGGCACGAGGTGGAATATGCAGGTACGAATATAATAGAGGTGTTTGCATCATAGACGGATACACCCGATGTTTGGGACACCTAGAGGTGATGCGTCTTTCAGAAACCTGTCATCAGCCGTCAAGGAAGCTCATAAGCTCGTATTGAGTGAGCGGAACACCGATGAGAGAGTGCACTGATCGGATGGGGATAGAGCCGCGGTACGCCCACTTACGCCACACCCAGACGATTCGGGAGTCTGGGGTAGGCCCAGCCTCCTCGACACACAATCATCCCCCTCCATTTCAATCCTCCAACACCAGCACGAGACCCTCTACCTTTGTATTTCTGCGACATTTTCGTTCAGCACCACAGTCCACCTCTAAACTCAGAGGCTAGCTTCCATATTCTTCACAAAGCCTTCGACCAATCCTTCATCGCGCGCTTTACGGCACTGCCTCACTTTCCCCTCAGTTCCGACCCTGTTAGACAAACCGATAACACAATCTCTTGTCGTCTCAAGACTATATCGATTCGTTGTCGAAGCGCTTCTAAGACGAGTGCGCTTGCGACATCGCTAAATTCTCTGTGAGGCAAGCAGATATCGAGAGCCAGTTTTCCGTGCTGGTATATCAAATTTTCCGGTTGAAACGACGCAGAGCGAGAGGAAACGCAAGAGCAGGAACATCCGTCGAGAAAGAAGAACGAGTGTTGGAAAAGGCGCGGGGTCTACTCTGAACTTTTCAGCGATTCCTTTTCTGGCCAGAAGCTGAAGGCGACATGGTCTCCACGAGGCACCATCCGAGACCCTTCCCCGAGCCAGCAACTCCCAGCTCGACAACCCGTTCCAATGCCACGGACTCGCCCTCCAAATCTTCCTCGCCTCCACATTCCGATGACTCAATAGTCGTCGCGTCTTCTGCTTCTCGAAAGCGCCGATCGAATCGATCCTCTCATGCAAAGTCGTCAACGTCCCTGACCCCCGCTTACTCGCATAGAGCGCCACCCCTGCTGTTGATCTGGCTGTTCGTTTCCCTTCCCCTCGTGGTATGGGATACGGGCTATATCGCACTTCGTCCACACTCGATGCCGGGAGGGAAGTTCCACACCCCCATCTGGTCATTGTACGCTCTGTACGGTACGGTGGACTATGTGTATGGCTGGCCAGCCTGGGACGGACATGTGGGCTTCACAGCAGCACAGGCTTCACTGAATGTCATTGAGACAGTCATGTACATCTACTACCTGAGCACAGTATTGAGCAACGGTACAGGAGGTCTCCTGAACTGTCGTTCTCCGCAGGGATTCTTCCTGGGTGAACGAGACAAATTCATCAGTGGGCCTGGCGTGGCCACAGCTGTCGTCGTCCTCTTCTCCGCTGCTGTGATGACCCTAAGCAAAACCATTTTGTACTGTACGTCAAAACTATCAACTCTTTTCTTACCCCGTGTACTTTGAGAAGTCCTGATCCTTGAAGATGCCGATGCTGACGACGGGACGAAACAGGGCTCAACGAATACTTCTCGAATTTTGCCAATATTGGCCACAATTCTCTGTATAACCTCGTCTTCCTATGGGTTATCCCCAACGGACTCTGGCTGATTTTTCCGGCGTACATGATATACTTGCTCGGAAAAGAGATGGTGGCAGGAATGGAGGGCACTCAAGCAGAAAAGGAGGAGTGATAATGGCTAGAGCAAAGGCGATAAATAGAGGTAGGCAGGGTTTGATGATTGAACCGATTTCCGAACACCGCCACTGCTTTCCTCGGCCAGTCCTCTCGATTGCCGAGGCCACGAGGTGTCTAAAAGTTGTGCCGAGTATAGTAGATGCTGCTGCTGGTGCGAACGCTGTTGCGAACGTTATTGCAGTGTTTGCATTTACAGGAAGTTCCAGAAAAGCCAAGATCGCTGCGGAATGCCGGAATTGGGCATTGATTGCTCTTTGCCCCATGGGCGCCGTTTTAGCGGTCATCTTGGGGATCCATCAACCACCGAAGAGCCTTTTTTGTGCAACATGCTTGGGTTACAATTATCAGAGGAGCGGCTTCTTGTCGGAGACTACGAACGACAAATGCTGGTAACCCTCTCGGGTCAGATGGGAGCCAGGGAGCCCGGAGTCTTGGGGTGCACGACATTAGTTGAACCGAGAGTTGGGCTGTTTGAAGAAAGACAACCGCACGGAAGCACGGTGTGTTGTGATCATTAGTAATGCCCAGGTACAAAGAAAGGTGCATGTCAATGTCAGTAAGAACGGTATTGTTCTATGTGGCTGATCACTGTGGATATTGAAGGGTCTCTGGGTGTCTCGGTGAGTGCCAAATTTCGCAGCTCTCGTTGGCGAATCCTAGCAAGTGGACGGAAGGTTAGGGCCGAAGGAGTATTGAGTTGTCAGGGTACAAACAAAAAGCATATAATGTGCTTGAATATAGGGTTACAATTGGCACAGACTAGGCACGGAGAAAGGAGTAACTATGTGATGCGTATGTCCGGATGGAATCACTTCCCCAGAAAGGCAACAAATGGGATAAACATCGGCCCTTGAGCGGATCCAGCGAGAAGACTATGGATGCATCAATTGCGGGGAGGTCCATTGAAGTCAACAGCCTGAATGGGTGAGACTCAACTCAAGAGGGGACGATCTGCAACCCGGCCATGTCCATATGATTCCATGAAATTTTCAGTTGAGATTGACCAGCACCCAGCAAGCGACGGCGAGGTTGCGGAGTAACCAAAGCTAGCCACATTGAAGTATAGGCTGCCCACGGCTGCCCTTCCTACCCTGTCAGCCTGTCTCCCACCGACAATTTGCGGGGTACAGCATCATTGACATGACTTGTCGAGATGCAGTGATCCTACCGACCCAGCGACCTCAACCACTCTCCTTCATGGCCTTCGTTACGTTGCCCTGACCGTGACATGGAGAATGCAACATTGCCTTCTTCCACATGCCTCTTCAGGCACCGGCAATGCAGCCCTCAAAGTCACACTATCGATCGCCTTCCTGGATCGACGCTCACTATTGTGCGCATAGTGCATCACAAGGCCTTCTCCCCACCCACTACTCGACAAGGCCATGGCATGGACTGGCATACAGGGAGCATAGACCATGTTCATGCCTTTGCTCTTGCCGCATTCATTGAGCTCCCTGCGCCAGCTCCGCCAGCTCCTCGTCTCCTCAGCTCCCCAGCTTACCCATCTTGCTTGCCAGTGCCTCCACCACCAACCCCCCCTTCTTCGGAGCGACGTGCCCTTTCTGCGCAAGAGAATGGAACAAAGGGAAAAATCAGACTCTCAATGACATCTACACGGACATGGCCCATACCATCTAGAGCCCGGGCGCTCAATTGTTCAAATACCCCCGAGTTTCTTCGACTGTCCACTCATTATTCACTCTTTCTTTCCGTCACCCGCAACTTGTATTCCTTCCTGCGGTGTGGCTCCCTGCCCGAGTCATCCCAAACCCCCCATCTGCTGTATCGACCTACAGCCGTGAGGTCTGTCGATTATTTTTGTACCGACCACCCGGGTTAAGCCCTAACAATAATACCTACGGGATTCCTACTGGTTGACGTCAACACCAAGTACCGAGAATCAGCCTAATAAACCCCCGGCGCCCTTGCAAAATGTGGCTCACGGATGCGGTTGTGGCGGCTTTGGCAGCATTGCCTTATCTTCCCCAGATCCAGGCCAGCGTAAGTGCAAGGCCCATTCCGCCCCTTTGTGCCCCCCAATAATCCCAGCGATCCGCGAGCGAATGGATTCTATGCCCCCTACCCATATTGTCAGATTTTAAAAGGTCCCTGATATCTCAGGGCCTGTCAAACAAAAAAAAAGAAACCCAGAATCCCAAGATTATGCCAGGATGCTCCAACTCTTTTCTGCTCTCCTTTTTGTTAATGCTTCGGTACAATTGTCCGACTACTCACAAGCTGTCATAAAGCCTGTCGAGGCTGCAGATGCCATCTTCAAGCGTCAAGCTGCCCAGCCATTTAATAACGACTATACTGGCCCCATTTGGACATCGGACCCGAAGTACCCGTCCCCATGGGGTGCTGGTACGGGAGACTGGGCTGCAGCATACGAGAAAGCCCGTGCCTTTGTTAGTGGCTTGACTTTATTGGAGAAGGTCAACCTCACTACAGGTGTCGGGTAGGTACCATCAAACATTGTTGCACACACTGGTAAATCTGACTTTTGGCGAAGCTGGGAATCTGATCGATGTGTCGGAAATACTGGCTCTATCCCTCGTCTCGACTTTGAAGGCCTCTGTTTACAAGACGGCCCACTTGGTATTCGTTTTGGTTAGCATTCAAACTTCCCACAATCCTCGATGAATAGGAGAATTGACAACAAAACAGCCGATTATGTCTCTGCCTTCCCGGCCGGTCTGAATGTGGCTGCTACATGGAGCCGTGATCTTGCGAGGGCTCGGGGAGAAGCTATGGGAGCTGAGAATAGAGGCAAAGGTGTTGATGTCCAGCTCGGTCCCGTGTGTGGACCCCTCGGCCGCAATCCTGAAGGTGGTCGAAACTGGGTAAGAAGGCCTCATAGAAAATCGAAGTACTCGGCGTGTTGACCAGAAATAGGAAGGATTCAGTCCCGATCCTTATCTCACTGGCGCCTTGATCGGTCCTACCATCCAAGGTATCCAAAGCCAAGGCGTCATGGCGTGCACGAAGCATTACATTGGGAATGAACAAGAACACTTCCGCCAGGTCGGGGAATCCATCGGCTACGGTTACAACATCACGGCCACGCTCAGCTCAAATATTGACGACAAGACCATCCATGAGCTTTACCTCTGGCCTTTTGCTGATGCCGTTCGGGCTGGTACAGCGTCAGGTAGGTAATTGGAAGAGTCGCAACAGGGGGTGGAGGCTAACGTTGTCCAAGTCATGTGCTCTTACCAGCAAGTGAACAACTCCTACGGCTGTGCCAACTCTTACACAATGAACCACCTTCTCAAGGGTGAACTCGGATTCCAGGGTTTCGTCATGTCAGATTGGCAGGCTCAACATTCCGGGGTTGGCACCGCCTTGGCTGGACTCGATATGACCATGCCTGGTGACACACTATTCAATACCGGGTATACCTACTGGGGCACTAACCTCACTATTGCCGTGATCAATGGTACTATTCCTGAATGGCGACTGGACGATATGGCCACGAGAATCATGGCAGGCTACTACTACGTCGGTCGCGATGCTGCCAGAGTTCCGGCCAACTTCTATGCCTGGGGCCAGGACACTTACGGACACGCTTCCGCTGCTGATCTCAATTCCCCCCTGATCATCGTCAACGAACATGTGAATGTCCAAGACGAGCATCGCAATATCATCAGACAGATTGGCCAGGCGTCCAATGTCCTTCTGAAGAACAATGGCGGCCTTCCCCTTACAGGTCAGGAAAAACAAGTGGCCGTGATTGGTTACGATGCTTGTGGCAACCCGTGGGGTCCCAATGGCTGTCCAAACCGTCAATGCAACAATGGAACCCTAGCCATGGCGTATGGGAGTGGCACCTGCGAATTTCCATATCTGGTGACACCAGAACAAGCGATCCAGCAATATGTTCTTACGCAGACCGACTCAGAGGTCTTCACCATTTGCGACAACTATGCAGACTCTCAGATCCAGAGTCTTGCCAGCCAAGCTGATGTTGCCATTGTTTTTGCAAACGCCGATTCTGGGGAAGGATTCATAACGATCGACGGCAACACTGGCGACCGCAATAATCTGTCTCTTTGGGAAGGAGCGGACCGCTTGATCAACAATGTGACCAAGTATAACAACAATACCATTGTGGTCATGCACACCGTGGGCGCTGTCAATGTTTCTGCATGGTATGACAACGAGAACGTCACTGCCATCCTATGGGCGGGTCTACCTGGTCAAGAGAGCGGCAATGCCCTCGTCGATGTCCTTTACGGTCTCGTCAACCCCGGTGGAAAACTACCATTTACCATTGCCCGCAACCGGGATGACTACGGCACAGATGTTCTATATGAGCCTAATAATGGGCAATTCGATGCTCCTCAAGTTCTCTTCTCGGAGGGGGTGTTCATTGATTACCGACATCTCGATGCAGCTGGGATCGAGCCAATCTATGAATTCGGATTCGGCCTCAGTTACACAACCTTTGAATATTCCAATCTGGTGATTACTCCAGGAAATCCAGCACCATATACCCCCGCCAGCGGATTGACAGGGCCAGCTCCAGTCTTGGGTAACTCGTCCACGGACCCATCACTATACCTCTTCCCCAATGCCAGCATCCCTTATCGTTACTTTGAATTCATCTACCCATACCTCAACACCACCGACCTTGAGGCTGCGTCTGCTGATCCTGATTACGGCCTGCCGACGGATCAGTATGTTCCGGCTGGTGCCACGGACGGCTCACCGCAGCCCATCCAGCCTGCTGGAGGTGGTCTCGGGGGCAACCCTCTTCTCTACGAAGTTGTCGCAACGGTGACGGCAACTATCACCAACACAGGAAGCGTCGCCGGAGATGAAGTTGTGCAGTTGTACGTGTCACTTGGGGAGGGAGAGCCGCCGAAGGTTCTTCGTGGCTTTGACCGCCTGACCATAGCACCTGGTCAATCAGCGACATTTACCGCTGACCTCACTCGGAAAGATGTGTCGGTTTGGGATACCACCGTTCAGAACTGGGTAGAGGTCAGC